GCTCAGCACTGCTACCTTTGCAGATATTTTGTGCGTGACTCTACATCATAATTTGTCTCCAGGAAGCGTAGACTTCTGCCCAAGGAAGCTATTTTCCTGGGTGTCAGTTGGCCCACTTCTTCTGGTGACAGTGTTACCCCCTCGAGGAATTTGAGCCTCTTGCAGAATTGGGCTGGACATTCGCGGAGCAGGTGCTCTGCGGTTTCTATTGCGTCTGAGCAGAATCTGCAGAGATCGTCTTCTGCTCTGTCCATTAACCTTAAATGGTATTTTACTGGGCAGTGTCCTGTGAGCAGTCCCACCACCAATCTGATGTCTGGTCTGCTCATGCTTAGGAGCTGTTCAGCTCTTTTTGCTGAAAGGGTAATAAACCGTTTTGACTGTCTGAGTCCCGGTGTGTGCCTCCAATATGATGACAGTTGGTCTTTCTCCCATTTGTTGAGTTCTTCCATGATGTGGCTTTTCATTAAGCCACAGTAGGGCTCTGGTCCATGGTATGGTGTTGAGGCTCCTTCCTTTGCGAGGCCATCTGCCTCTTCGTTTCCTTCTATGCCTCGATGACCAGGCAGCCACATCAGCGTTACCTGGTTATGTGTCGCTAGTGTTTTTAGGGTCTGTTTACACTCCCAGACTAGTTTTGACGTGCATTTGAAAGCCCTCAAGGCTTTTAAGGCAGCTTGGCTGTCCGATAGTATGAAGATGTGTTTTCTTTTGAGGCTTTGGTTAAGACACTCTTGTGCACATATATCTATGGCACGCAGTTCGGCTTGAAATATTGTAAGATGTTTACCCAATGCCTTGGAGAGCTTGAAGTTAGGGCCGGAAATGCCCAGTCCAGCTCCTACCATTAGCTTGGATCCATCTGTGTACCACAGAGATGCATTGTCTGCTTGTGGTAGTTCTTTATTCTCCCATGATTGGCGGTCGCTTATTACCACTGCGAAGGGGATCTCTAAGTCCAATCTGACCATCATGTGGTCACTTGGTTTGCTGGCATTCTCCAGTGTTATTAGATCAACGATTTTCAGATGTCCCCTCAGATCGCCAGGCTTGAACTTGTCTATTTGGAATAGCCTGTGAGCGCTGGTTATTGCCTCCTTTTTCACACATAGATGAAGTGGGGGCATGTTGAGTAGCGTCTCTAGGGCTGCGGTGGGGCAAGTTGACATTGCTCCCGTTATTCCTAGACATATCAGCCTTTGCACCTTTCTTAGCTTAATCTGAGCGGTGACTTGTTGGGTTTTGAGCCACCACACCAATGAGGCGTATGTGACCATAGGCTTTATTATGGTTTGGTAGATCCAGAATACCATCTTTGGCTTTAGCCCCCATGTTTTGCCAACAAGTCTTCGGCATGACCAAATGGCTGATGTAGCTCGAGAGCATGTTTTCTCTAACTGTTTGTTCCAAGTGAGGGTTTGGTCCAGGGTGACCCCTAAGTACTTCACTTCGTTGGAAAATGTTAGTTGTGTACCGTTAAGGGTCGGGGCTTTCAAATTTAGCTTCCTTCTTCTTGTGAACGGGACAAGGATTGTTTTGTTTGCGGTAAGGGATAGTCCTTCGCCTTCGCTCCAATTTTTAACGATGTTTAGGGCACTTTGCATTCGGCTTGTCACTATACCTTCATGTTTGCCCTTGATTACGATGGCTAGGTCATCTGCGTAACCTATGACCTGGTATCCAGCACTACTCAGTCTGGTAAGAATTTTGTCTACCACCAGTGTCCATAGCAGCGGAGAAAGAACTCCCCCTTGAGGACACCCTCTGACCGTGGTAGCGGTAGCTGATGCTCCGTTTGTTTCAGCCATAACGTGACGGTGCTTCAGCATCGACTCTATCCATTTTACAATTGGAACTTCAACATCCCATTCTTGTAATGCTCTGGCGATTGATTGATGTGAGGTGTTGTCAAAGGCACCCTCTATGTCGATGAAAGCTGTGAGAGCGATCTCTTTGCACTCGATTGTCTTTTCAATGTCTTTAACCAGGCAGTGTAAAGCACTTATCGTGGATTTGCCTGGCTGATAGGCAAATTGCTTCGAGTAGAGCGGTCTTCTCAATAGAGTTTCGCTTCTGATGTACTGGTCGATTGCTTTCTCCATTGTCTTAAGGAGAAAGGAGGTTAGACTAATGGGACGATATGATTTTGGTTCGTCCTCGGGTCGGCGACCCGTTTTTGGTATGAATATCACATTAGCTTCCCTCCAAGATAGCGGTATGTGCCCTAGAAGCAGGCTTGCCTTAAAGAGCTTTTGTAGGTGTACCTTTAAGTGCTCGTAGCCTTTTTGCAGTTGTGCGGGAAAAATCCCGTCTTTGCCTGGAGATTTGTAGGGTCTGAAGCTATCGATCGCCCATTTTATTATGTTCATTGTGAAGAAAAAAATAATATAGGTGAACAAAAAGTGGATTACTCTAGTCCAGCCCCCCGCCGAAAAAAAATTCTGGGTGCGCCACTGGATATGAATATACAGGGTGTCCTACGAGGTTTTTTCCAAATGATATCATCGTATGTTTCACGGTATTATTTTTTATCATTTTCTTTAACAAAGCCTTAACAAATATGGCATTGCCGATTTTGAAATTTTTGGTTTCCTGCACTAAATAGGCTTGAACTAGATCAGAAAAATCATACAGATTGTTTTTATCTTTGCTCTAATTTGCTCTGATGTTCTGAATCTGGTAACAAAGGGTAACAATGACACAGCTAGATCACTCGTCGCCCGCTCCGCATGTTTGGTGAATCTGAAAAATTATAGGCCGACGCTTGCTGTCTCTCTCTCGCCGGAATTAAAAGTCGGGGTCGGATTAAAAATATTTCCATTCTTTAGACAGAGTCCGAACAGAGTCGTATTATTAATTTGTTTAATGTGTTATAAAATGATTTAATCGATATAATTGAAAATAATTAAAACGGGTAATAATAATGGGGGCTTCACTTTATTTAAAAAATTGAACACTTTCTAATAATGTTTAACCTGCCAACCTTTTTAAGAGATAATTATTAATGAGGCTATTATTAAACTTCTGGATTTATTTTACTGGTAGACTTTTCAGAAACTTACTTAACATAGTTATACTCACAAAAGCATGAAAAAAAAAAACACCAAAAAATACATGTAATAATAGTATATTGTTGTATTAGGAGTAGAAGCTTTACTTTTTTGTGCTGAAGCAGTAGGTTTGCGAGCCGAACGTAGTGAGGCTTGCAATACTGCTGAAGCACAAAAAAGTGCTTCTACTCCGTATGCAACACGCTATTTTTTCTCCAAACAAATGGGGTAAGCTCGGGGTAACTGAATGGTTAAGCGGCAGTAAAAGTACGAGCGGCACTAAAAGTACTTTTGCTGCCGCTGGGGTTGCCAAGCAGCAAGCAGCATAGAAATTGAATTTCTACCGCCTCGACAGGTGTTAACCTGCTGGATTTGCCTATACCAGCATAGAAATTAAATTTCTGACATCTTGACAGAGGTTAACAAAGTGGCGTTTTTTTGACGTTTGGAGAAAAATATTATTTTTATTCTACATTATATTACAATATGTAGTTGTAATTAACAAAACTATAAAAATGTCTTTGATAATAATTATGTTGGGCACATATTATTAATCACTACTACCTACTTCTACGTAAATACTAATTCTACGTTTGCGTTCGCGTTCACTCATTATTAATAAACCATAAAAGTCACACAAGAAAAGAAACTACGCCAATGGTAACACCTCGAAAATCACGAGCATAATAAATTAATTTTACTTCTGACGGGCGCCCGTGCCGTGTTTTACGTCCAAAGGCGGGGCTTGAAACATGCGCGCGAGGTTCGGCGTCAATCGTTCCCGCTGAAAGAGTCACCCAGAATGTTATAGTAAGCTGTGACACTGCCTCCTATACTTAACAAGCCATGAAGTTGGAAATGACGGCAACGTCGCGTATGGTGCTATTTTGTTATTGGGTTATGTGTTTCTGTGTATTGCTTTCATTGTGTATTGTTGCAGTTTAGTATTTTTGTGGGCATTATTGACGAAAAAGTGGATAGAAACACACCAATATATTGCCCATATTTAGTTGATACCTGTTCCTTTGTGCTTTGATTGCAATTTTTTAGCAAATGGGTACAGGAGCAAAAATGAAGGTAAGGTGAGATAAAATAATAAAAACAATATTAATATTTGTCTGCAAGAGCATATGTCTCGATATATTACCTAAGATATTTAAACTTGTTCCAGATGCCATGAAACTACTGTGTTCCTGGGTGCCAATCGAACTATTAGGAGTTCCTTAAAAACTGAAGAAATACAAACATTTTCATTTCCAAAAAAATTCTGAATTGCAAAAAATGTGGATGAAAGCAATACACCAAGATAATTATACCCGACATTATACAATAACGAAAAATTCTGTGGTGTGTTGTAAACATTTTGAAGAAACCGAAATAATTAGATTTGAAACAAACAAGGATAAAGGCCTAGTTCGAGAGTTCAAACTGAAACGTCCAACTCTTAAAAGTAGGTGTAGGTACCTCTTATTTTCGAAAATCAGCTCAAGTATTTGAATGGACCTGCCTTCCGAAAAAATCCCGAAGAAAGAAAAAGTTAGATTTTTCAAAAGACATACTGAAACATAGGCCTATAACACTTTAGACTCTAGAAATATATTCATTTAAATCAATTATTTACTGTTCTTATTTACACAAATAGTTATATTATTGATTGAATTACTGTTTTTGGCCCTTTAGTACAATAAATTATGCATTTTTCGTGATTCATATTATTAAAATAAAAAATATATATTTATAAAAACAAACACCACCAGCACCACTTGGCGGTAAGATTGCGGTGTTGCCTTTTTAACTTCATGGCTTGTTAAATGTAGGAGGCTGTGGCTGTGACAATGATATGAAAAGCCCTTTTCAACTATAGAAAATGACTGCCATCTATTAGCGTTGCAACCAACTACAAAAATAAAGAATAAAGAAATCGCCTACAAAACGAAAGTGAAGGCAAATGCAGGTTAAGGTTATTTGATTTCATTTATAAACAAAACATAAACAAACAAGTTCAAGATACGTTTGCTATATTTTTATTATCTAAAACCAGTTCAATTTTTGCGATAACAACTATTTTATTATTTATCAAACATTTTTCAGGTTCTGGTTAGTGTACAACGTGCCTGGAAAAAATCGCAATGACCGAAGAACAAAATCTACTAGAAAACCTCCAAATCCAGCTGGACGAGTTGGACAGCCTGCAGGCAACGTTTTACAATCCAGGAGAAATCAAAGTAGAGGATCTCGCCTCAGTTCAGGGTATCAAAGACTACATTGCCGGCAAAACAAAAATTTTGCCCCCTTGTCTCGACTTCACAGTCAATCTCGTAGTAGAGGACACCAAATTCGAGATGTGCGTAAGTTTAGGACACGATTATCCGTTATTGGAGCCGGAAATTTTCGTCAGGAATCATCGGTTGAATAGAGCGCAGCATGAGGAACTCAATAGGAATATTGGTAAGCTGTTTTGGAGCCCCAAAATTGTATTGATATGATGTAAGTGTTGAGTGAGTTTATATCATTCTATATTTTTATTTGAATAAATTAGAATGGTGTCTTGCCAATGTAGGTAGTTCTTACTTCCTGAATATGGGCAGTTTGTTCAATGACATAGTTGTAAGTAGGTTTGTTTTTTTCTAACTGGACTTTATATTTAAATGTAGAAGTTATACAGGGTGTTTCATAATCATCAAGCAAGGGTGGTAGGCATCAAACAAAACCGACGTTTTTTTTGCTCTAGACATCGAGGCTCTATGAAATAAATGAATGGCATAAATCAGTGTTCAGTGTGAACCTGGCTGCCATTTTGACTCTGCAAAATTGCTTCCTTGTTGAGTTTCAGGGTGTTAAATTTCTTGTTTGCTGCTTCTCAACCACTGCTTTTTTAAATATCCTTTACTTGAATTTCAACACACTTCTCTTCTGAAGGATTTTTAGCGTACAAACCTGTCACTCTCAACATTACATTTTTTATAGAATATCCGCTTTCTGCAGGAGTGCATTTAGGAATAACTTAGTGCTTCAATAGCCCTTTCACTGAGTGCTTTGCCCAGCTCTGCAATTAACCTCGCCTTGAATTTATCATTTTCCTTTTCTTCCCTCGATTTATAAGCAAATACTTATTTTGTATCTAAAATCTAACAATAATTTGGTTTTCCACCTTTTCCCACGTCTCATTAATTTCAATCGATTTTAACTCTCTATCTACAGCCCCTAGCCATTTTTCTTTGCATTTTTCCTCATCTACTCTATTCTTTAGTTCAGTCAAAGACAAGTTCAGTAAAACTTACCGATGTATGTACATTCTCAACAAAACTGCATGCATCAAATGCCATATTATATAACTTATAATCCTCATATTTTTGTGGTATTCTCACTAATCTTTTATTCTCTGCTCTATTCACATTCTCATTATCATCATCTGTTTCCCTTTGATACTCTATTTGCATATTTACCATCCCCATTGGTTCATTTACTGTGTTTTTCTCATCAAACCTTTCTGTCAAACATTCTTTCCTCTTATAATTAAGTTAACTCACTCATTAAATTTCACATCTCTTGCAATAATCATTTTTTCTTTTCTATATCCCATAATCTATGACCTGTCTGAGCAGTGAGCATACCCCATCATTATGCATATCTTAACTTTCGAATCAAATTTACCTCAAGATTCTTAAAGTACAGGGTGGCCCAAATTCAAGCCTCATCATTGGGAACTCGGTAACTGTAAGAGATACGGGGTCGGTTAAATTATGGCAAAGTTGCGCAATTTTATGACCAATAGAATGCCGTTTTGAAATTCGAAAGGTTCTGAATACTTCTGGAGATATTCGGAAAAAAACCGAAATTTTGTAAAATCGTTTTTATTTTTTCCCGGGCTTATTTGAAAACCATATCCAGCATATCCAGAATGTCTATTTTTTCTAAGGTATTTGAGTCTATAATAACGGATTTTCTTACACCAATTTTGAAACATGTTATTGTACCGGAACAGCATGGCTTTATTAAGGGTAGATCTACATTGACTAATCTTCTGGTCTATGAGGAGGCTCTGTTGGAGGGCTTGGAGAATAAGTGTCAGATTGACTCGGTCTACACTGACTTCTCCAAGGCCTTTGACAGGGTTGACCATAAGATACTATTGGAGAAGGTGGCCGATGTGGGGCTGCATGGAGGTCTATTGAGCTTGATTGGAAGTCTTCTCACAGGTAGAAAACAGGCTGTAAAAATTGAGAATTACATCTCTTCAGTATTTTCGGTGACCTCGGGGGTGCCTCAGGGAGGACACCTGTCTCCTTTGCTGTTTAGTATATTTATTAATGATCTGTCAGGTGTCTTCAGAAATTCCGATTTTTTGCTCTTGGCTGATGACTTGAAGTGTTTTATGGTTGTTCGGGATGTCAGGGATGCTCAATTATTGCAAGTGGACTTGGATATGTTTCGGACTTGGTGTCAAAGAAACAAACTCCCCTTAAATGTTGAGAAGTGTAAGGTTATTACTTTTTCTCGGAAAAAAATACCTTACTTACATAATTACGTTCTTAATGATTTGGAGATTAACAGGGTTGAAACTATTAGAGACTTGGGAGTCTATTTCAACACTAATGTAAGCTTCACAGAGCACATTGAAATAACTGCTAATAAAGCAATGAAATTACTAGGCTTTATGTTCAGGTCACTAAAAGAATTTACTAATATCTACACCCTAAGAAACATTTATTGTGCAATTGTTAGATCAGTTGTAGAATATGCTTGCCCTGTCTGGTCCCCTTATTATGCTGTGCACATCTCCCACTTGGAACGAATCCAAAAAAAGTTTTTAAGATCCATTGCATATCGATTGGGCATCCCAAGTGAATCTATAAATTATAATGAGTTAATGTCTGTCCTAAATCTTGAAAATCTGAACCAGAGGCGACAGTTTTTTGATATGTGTACTTTGTTTAAGATTGTTAATAATTCTATTGATTCTCCAGACTTACTTGCTAGAATTGGCTTACATGTACCATCTAGCAATTTAAGAGGAAACACATTGTTTAACCTTGATTTTCGTAGAACCAATTATGGTTACCATTCACCTTTACTTAGAAGCTGTCGTTCTCTGAATGATATTATTTTGAAGACTGATTTGGATGTTTTTAACATAAGTTTGGATAGATTCAAAAGAATTTTAAAGTCGATCCTAAAATGATCGTTTTTTCTATTTGTATTCAATTTTAAGCGTATTATGTTGTTTATGTTTTGATACCTACTACAAAATATTTGTTTAGGCTTATGTAATATTGTTTTTTTATACTAACTTGTCTGTTGCCTACTTGTTATTCCAAATATTTATTATTGCGTGTACCTACACTTTAAGTCTACCTTTGTAAAAATGGCATGTCCGTAAATAAAGAATTTATTTATTTATTTAAAACCAATTTTAAAATAAAGGTCACTTCATCATTGTCACTTTTTCCCCTTTAGAAGATGGTGCTACTAAATTTAAAATCCGACGTTTCGTCTTCAGGCGGCCATCTTCAACTTACTTTTTTTTAATACGGACCTGGATTTTTTATTTGCGATTTTGTAATATTTGACCGGTGTGAAGTTGGTGGCAAAAGATAGTAGCCAAATTTTCCGAAGATACCCGAACGCCCATTGGCGTCGGGTCATATTTTAATCGACAGAAATTGTATTTTACCTCACTTGACTTTAGTTTTCTAAAATTCTACTACAGTTACATATCAGCAAAAAAAAAACATATTCTTGGGGAAATTATATCAAGGGGTATATATACGCGACGGTATTTTTTTAAATGTTATTTTGTTTTTTAAAATATCTCAAAATCTGTTCGTTTCAAAAGATTCATATTTAAACCACGGTTAACTTAGGTGCTGATTCAATTTTGAAAAAATATTTCATCCCCAGCAACCCGGGACAAGGGGTTCAACTGGAGGTTGGAAACATATTTTTTGAGTTATTTTAAAATTTCTCGAAATCTGCTCGTTTCTACAGATTTATATTTGAACCACAGTTAACTTAGGTACTGATTCAATTTTAAAAAAATATTTCATCCCCAGCAACCCGGGACAAGGGGTTCAACTGGGGGTTGAAAGCATATTTTTTTAAGTTTCTCGAAATCTGCTCGTTTCTACAGATTTATATTTGAACCACAGTTAACTTAGGTGCTGCTTCAATTTTAAAAAAAAATTTCATCCCCAGCAACCCGGGACAAGGGGTTCAACTGGGGGTTGGAAGCATATTTTTTGAATTATTTTTAAATTTCTCCAAATCTGCTCGTTTCTACAGATTTATATTTGAACCACAGTTAACTTGGGTGCTGATTCAATTTTAAAAAAATATTTCATCCCCAGCAACCCGGAACAAGGGGTTCAACTGGGGGTTGGAAGCATATTTTTTGAATTATTTTCAAATTTCTCGAAATCTGCTCGTTTCTACAGATTTATATTAGAACCACAGTTACCTTAGGTGCTGATTCAATTTTAAAAAAATATTTCATCCCCAGCAACCCGGAACAAGGGGTTCAACTGGGGGTTGGAAGCATATTTTTTGAATTATTTTTAAATTTCTCGAAATCTGCTCGTTTCTACAGATTTATATTTGAACCACAGTTAACTTAGGTGCTGCTTCAATTTTAAAAAAATATTTCATCCCCAGCAAGCCGGGACAAGGGGTTCAACTGGGGGTTGGAAGCATATTTTTTGAATTATTTTTAAATTTCTCGAAATCTGCTCGTTTCTACAGATTTATATTTGAACCACAGTTAACTTAGGTGCTGCTTCAATTTTGAAAAAAAATATTTTATCCCCAGCAACCCGGGACAAGGGGTTCAACTGGGGGTTGGAAGCATATTTTTTGAATTATTTTTAAATTTCTCGAAATCTGCTCGTTTCTACAGATTTATATTTGAACCACAGTTAACTTAGGTGCTGATTCAATTTTAAAAAAATATTTCATCCCCAGCAACCCGGAACAAGGGGTTCAACTGGGGGTTGGAAGCATATTTTTTTAATTATTTTTAAATTTCTCGAAATCTGCTCGTTTCTACAGATTTATATTTGAACCACAGTTAACTTGGGTGCTGATTCAATTTTAAAAAAAATATTTCATCCCCAGCAACCCGGAACAAGGGGTTCAACTGGGGGTTGGAAGCATATTTTTTTAATTATTTTTAAATTTCTCGAAATCTGCTCGTTTCTACAGATTTATATTAGAACCACAGTTACCTTAGGTGCTGATTCAATTTTCAAAAAATATTTCATCCCCAGCAACCCGGGACAAGAGGTTCAACTGGGGGTTGGAAGCATATTTTTTGAATTATTTTTAAATTTCTCGAAATGTGGTTGTTTCTACAGATTTATATTTGAACCACAGTTAACTTAGGTGCTGCTTCAATTTTAAAAAAATATTTCATCCCCAGCAACCCGGGACAAGGGGTTCAACTGGGGGCTGGA